TCCAGCTTTCTCCAGCTGACTCCTTGATTCCCTCGAAGATCAGGTTTTTTCGCTTGGACTGTACTTTCAAATGCTCCATTTTATCCATTATGGCTATTAAACTCTCACAGGTTCTGTAGACATCCTCCCTTGTTTCCTTGGTTTGTATTTTCTGTTCACCCATGGCTGCTTTAATCACATCCACATCTCGCTGGGTAAACTGCAAACTCGTTTTTATCTCCTGTATTTCTCTGGTCATGTTGTTGAGTCTCTTGTTATTTGTCTCCATAAGTAGTTGCACAAAACCTTTGAAGTTGTCTTGTTGTTGGCTCAACAGTGCGGTGTACATCTGCTTCTGCTGACTCAACATCTCTATTACTTGCGCCGCTGAACTATAATCCTCTTCTGCCTCAACATCCTCGTTCGCTTCTGATCTATTAGCTCTTTTTCCTCTTGGAGGCATTTTAATAGTTGTAGAATTTGTTCAAAGACTTGAAAATGTAGAAGATGTGAAAAATCGTAGAACAGACAGGAGCAGTAAACGTCTGCTCTCCCTTGCAACCCGTTGTGTTATGTTATGTCGTTGTCGCTTTGTAGAACATGTAGCACATTTGATTATAGACCTTTAGTGTACAATGCTTTAAAATGTTGGCTAGTGTCATGTTTTTCTATCTTTGAAATACATTCCATCCCTCTTTTGCACATCAACCATCATGATAAAAATTTAATGGAAATTCAATCCATGGAGACACAGTATGATTAATTTGATAATGTCTACAATATTGAACCTGACATTTTCGGATTGGCCTTTGATTTATTCTCCCCCATAGGTCAGATATGACCTGACCTGTGTTTGTGATGGAGAAAACACAATAAAATGCCCTGACAATACGATCTGGAGAACAACATTTGACAGTTTACAACATGTGTCTCGAGTTGTGTCATGTAAGATGTAATTTCAATTAAATAAGAGGAAGGACATTGCCACCTCTTGGACAAGATGCACACCATCAGGATTGTGCACTCCTTCATTAGCACATGGCATTACTCACATTGTAGTACTTTAGTGCAACTTTATCTCAGAGTTAAACAACCTCTCACTTTATCATTTCCAAGGAATCCATTCAGCTGCTGTACAGTTATACTTAATCAGCACAAATGTTTAGAACAGAGCTTGCAACATCAGCACACCTTGTTGTGCAACTGGCAGTGCAGTGTCAGACTCCATCCTAGGTCACAAAGACAGAAGAATTAAAAATGTTCATGCTTTTCAGTGCCACTCATATCAGTGCTACTGCTTTTGTCAAAGGCTACTGGGGAAATGCAGGGGTCACCTGTATTTGTTGTGATGTTTATTCAAAAGCAAGTGAACTGAATTTGAACATTTTGAGTCTATTTGAAATATATGGCATATAAATAAAATCATGAAGTCCTACCATTTCTGACATATAAGTGATTGTACTAAATAGCTGCAAAGCTGCTAAGTTACTATTTAAGCTACTTAAAAAATAGTTGTCTTAACTTCTTAAACTATGCCGGGACATCAGTGTATCCATTTTTACTGATTCATATATGCAGCCAAGCACTGTCAAACCCATAGAGCGTTATTTTAAATTCAAGTGGAAAGCCCAGAATTTCCAATGATACCAAGTAAATTACATAGGTCATTTAAAATCGCTACCTTCTCCTGCAGCCGTGGTATATCCTGTCCAGCAAGCTCATCCACCTGCAAGGTAGAAAAACAGTAGAAAGAAATAGTTAGCACTAATAAAGCCACAAAGATGCTGGATGCAGCATGATGGAGCTCCTGCCTACTTTCCATTCTTGTACAAAAAGAAATGTAGAAACAGAATGTACATATTTCCTGGTAAAACAATTGTTTGCAGGTTATTCATAGTAGATGTGTGTAAGAAACTGCATTAAACAGGCTGCTGAAAATGACATTGTTTATAAATGTTAAATGCATCACTCACCTGATCATCATCCACATCTTCCTTCAGAAATGTGACCTCTGTGTTTTTGTAACAACTCTTGAAGAAAAAAGAAATTCTGAATTTATTTCAGAAGAGATAAATAGACAAAATAACAAAGACAAACCGATTCAATTATATAATGGGAGCGAGACAAAGGAGAAAAACTAAACAGAGTTTTGAAAGCCAAGAGTCCATTGTTTTGTTCTTTCTGCCTGTTACCGACTCTCACCTGTGTGCAATCTCAAGTAATCTTAAAATTTTATTTTACTGCTCTGTCTGTGAGTTGTGTTTTTGGGTCCAAACTTTGTTTACTGGGCCACTGGCGGTGAAAAACCACTGTCTGTTGTCAGCTAAAAATATATTAGAGTCATTTTGTGCTATGGGGCAGTTGTAGTAATGTTTTATCTGCTGACTCCTGAAGCCTTCCAAAATCTAATCAAAAAAGCCAACAGTCCAGCCAACTCAGACATTTGGGATGCAGCTGCAAGTAACAAAAAAAACCTTCCTCTGAAGCTAGTTGATAGATGCCACTGGGCTGTATAAGCCGCCACTACCAGCCTGTCTCCTGCATCCTTGAAAGCCTTGACAAAGTCCTACTGTGAGGGAAGAAGGAGGAATGAACAACAACAAACTGAGCTGTGATGTGTGAACAAGTGTTTTCTCCGCAGCCATTCTCAGAGTATTTAAATGATTTTTAAATGTCATTAATATTTTTCAACACTCAGTCTCCCATTAGAGGCACACTCTGTCCCTGTGGCTCATTATCATACTTCAGGTAATTGTGCAGTACAACATCCTCTCATAGTGAGATACAATAAATGTTTTGCAACTGTTGAATAGTTGTAAAAGTTACACACTAAGAAGAAAATAACACAAGATCACATTCCAAATACACTATCAATTTCTCCTAAAGTGTCACTTAATGATCATTTTGTTGCCACTGGCAGCCCTTTTGGTACACGTACAGTCTTCTCATAACATTCTGCTATGGGAGATGCACCTGGGATGTGCTACTTTAAACACTCTGCCACATGAGAAGACACCCCTGGGGTGTGAAGTCAGGAGAGGCCATTTATCTAAACAAGGGCTAGCTACGTTTCATGATTATTAAATGCTGTAATGCACATTTGTGATCTTTATTGATACCTAATTATTCTTTCTTGCATTTCAGATTACACCTGCTATGACAATAAAGGCAGGTTTTTACTTTTTTATTCTTGTTATCCACCTAAACGCCTCTGCCCCATATAGGAGCTGTTGCAGATATAATTAAATGGCTTATGTCATCACCCTAAAGGCCTGAAGGCTTTATGAAAACACAGCAGGCTGATGATGTCAAGTAGAAAATGTTGCTTCTTCAAGTTAGAGCTTGTGGAGTATCAGTATCCCACAATTTTCACATTTTGAAACTGGTGTAGTTCAGTTGTCGATCCCTGAGGCCTAACTTAACTAAGAAATGTTCAGATGTCATTTATTGATCAGTTACACACACACATACACACGAGAGGAACTTGAATGTTTTCATGTTTTACACTTTTTTTTGTCTATATCTTCTCCCCAGTAGACATTTTTGGCTTATCAGATGATGAAAAGGTGGAAATATTACCATAAATAATATAAAATGTTGACGTAGTTCTAGGTGTTCAGTGCCACCAATTGATTGCTTAATATTTATTTTAGGCAAAATAGTATACAATTTTTCAAATATCACTTTTTCTCAGCTTCAAAATTATGGAAATTGTGTGGTTGTTTTAAAGGTGTTAAACGTTTAAAAGAAATCAGTGGTCTTGTGTTTTAACTCCTATTGCTGTAACGATCGACAGCTGCATATTAATCTTACTGTAGGACCGTTATCATCAGTGCCAACAGCCAACTTCCTTAAGGTAGATGCCAGGTTGACGCCCACTTTTTTTTTGAAGCGGAAGGTGTTTATTTCGTGGTCTCTTGCCGTAAACTGGAAGCAAACGTCTGAACTTGTTATTTCCGACGGCACATCTGCAGTCGAAATGGATTGTTATGAACTCTGGAAGCAGCGAGGATAAAGTCGCTATCGCAGACATGTAGTTAGGGCCGACGCTGCATATCGAACCGACATGCGTTAATTCGTCTAGCTATGGCAAACTGGTGAAAGGTACGGCTTTAATGTCTGACAGATAGCGCGCTTTGTGTTTGTTGTAGCTAACGTTAGTTACGCAAGGTTTGCAAATAACCAACAGTTAGCGGTGCTGCGCTAGCTAACCTTCATCAGTCGTAGTAAACTTTCAAGACAGCATTGCAGCCCTACGTGGAGATAATACGTAACCTGAAATTATAGTAACGTTACATAATTCACGGCGTAGTTTCCATAATGTCCGTGTTATTTTGCATTTACAAACACGCTGTATCTAGTCACAGTAGTAGCTCGCAGTGGCATAATTGACCATTTATATGTGTGCTCCTGTTGTTGGGTGCTTGTTTGGTTTAGTTGTCTTTGTGTCATTTATATGTGTGCTCCTGTTTAATGGTTGTTGTGTGCTTGTTTGGTTTAGTTGTCTTTGTGTTAACGGTTGGCGCTAGCGGTTTCATTTTGCTTGAGCTGCCTGTGTCTGGCTGTTTCCAGGTGCCCCTGCCGTCACGGTGCCCCCGGGTCTCTGCTGCCATGGAGGTAGGTAGTCTCCCTGTGGAGCTGTGGAGGGTTATCTTGGCCTACCTTCCTCTCCCAGACCTGGGCCGCTGCTGCCAGGTGTGCCGTGCCTGGCGGGAGCTCATCTTCTCCCTAGATAACACCCGCTGGAAACAACTCTGCCTGGGCTGCCCTGAGTGCCGCCATCCCAACTGGCCCAGTCAGCCCCATCTGGAGCCCGCGTCCTGGAGGGAGGCTCTGAAGCAGCACGCCTTGGCCACCCGCACCTGGACTCAGAACGGATCAGACCTCCAGTCTTCCGCCTGTCTCCTCTTTTTCCATCGTCGAAAAGACCGCAGGATTTGGCATGTGGGACCTGGGTGTGAGTTTGAGACCCTACGCGGGGCTCTCGGGGCGGTGGGGCCATATGACCGTGTGGTTCTCCACCCAGGGGTATATGAGGAACAGGCTGAGGTGGCACTAAAGGTGCCTGTGGAACTGGTGGGGCTGGGCCAGCTGGGTGAGGTGGCCCTCCTGGTGTGTATAGAGCAGCAGTGCACCACTGCCAGGCTGTGCAATCTGGTGTTCATGCCACCCTGGTTCTCCACTGTGGTCTACAAGGTGAAGTAACTTCATACAGGAGTTTCTTTCCAAGTGTTTTGAGTTGTCAGTATGGTTGTGAATGGTTTAACTAACTTCATTAACTCACCCCTGTAGTGCTGCAACTAACAGTTATTGTCATTAGTGATTAATCTGTTGATTTGTTTTTTCATTAATCAGTGAATCATTTTCTCTATAAAATGTCAAAGTAGTGAGGAATGCCCATTACAACTTCATCAAGTCCAAGGTGATGAACTCAAATTACAAAACCTTAAAACATACACACTACGACAAAAGACAAAAAGCAGAAAATTATCACATGGTAGAACTGGGCAATGATTATAATCAGCAAAGCTGCAGATTACATTTTTGTAGATTCACTTAATTAACAGTTTAGCTCTTCACCTGTGTATCCTACTGTGTCTGAACTAAATCAGGTCTAATTATATTCTTTCTCTCCTTGCTCTAGACATCACGGGGTCATGTCCAGCTAGATAACTGCAACTTTGAAGGAGCCCAGCTGCAAGTCCGCGGTCCAGGAACGTGCCAGGCTCGGTTCTGCTCCTTCTCACAGGGCAGCTCTGCCCACTTGCTGGGTGTTGTTCTCAGTTTATTGGACAGCTGTGACTTTGCAGGAAGTGACACAGCTTCAGTGACTGTTGAAGGTCCTCCAGTTTCAGAAAGGAACTGGGCTTGTAAACACTTGGCTGCCCTGGCCAGGACGTTACCACCATGCAGTGTGTATGGGCCTAACAATAGCTCTCCCACAAACCCTGGCTCCACTGGTGGACATCAACTTTCAGGTAATAATAAAAAGGAGCATGTGAGCATAGAGGACTGGCAGAGGAAGATTGGGATACACGCGGTGTGTCATGGCACAGTGATTGAAGATGGCTGGAGTGATGGTGAGCGCAGTGAGGGAGAGGAAGAGAACAGAGGTGAAGGAGGAACTAAAAATACCAAAAATCCATTCACTCTGGATTATAAAATCTCATATGACCACCATGGCCTATCACATCTTCTCAAGCCCCGACCAAATGGCTCTCTGCCACAGACGTGCTCCCCAGATCCCCC